CTAAACCCTAAACCCTAAACCCTAAACCCTAAAACCCTAAACCCTAAACCCTAAACCCTAAACCCTAAACCCTAAACCCTAAACCCTAAACCCTAAACCCTAAACCCTCCTACAGTTAACAATTTGTATCTTTTAATACCCTAAATTACCCTAACTACCCTGATTTACCCTAGATTGGGTTAACTTTCACTTTTAAATCTTACATACGACTAATTCCATTTATCATTCTATCCATCCATTTATATCTAACACTCTCTTTTTTATGAACGTTTATTAATACCACGCTTCTACAAATAAGTCGTCAGATATCGCCTTTCTACGTCAGACATTTTTTTTCTTTTATACTTTAATAACATTCCCACTATCACAAAATATTTTTTATACCTACACCAGCTGTATATTTCCATAATTTCTTACATTTCGTTTCTGCACTTCTTGTACAAACTTCAATACAATCACAATTTCACTCAATTCAATGATTTTACTAAATTTCATGATGTGTGTCAACTTGTATACTAGCGGTTGCTCGAATGTGGTGCTTTATCATAGGGCCCCATACCCAGCACAAGTTTTCCAAAGTGTAGAGCAATGTGTAGCACGAAGAAGTACGTGTGGAACATGAAAAAGCACGTCAGAACAGTGCTTTTGTGGTAAAAGTTCGGTTTTCCATTTAAAACGCCAGCTCTAACTTACTAATCGTATAGTTTGCCCTTCTGCATACTTAGTAGTATATATGGTACTACTTTGTACAAGGCTTCGTCTATGAACAGCTTCTAGAAACTTCAATTAGATCGCAATTTCACTCAGTTCAATGATTTTACCTACTTTCATCATGTGTATCGACTTGTATACTAGCGGTAGCTCGAATGTGGTATATTATCACATGGCACCATACTCAACACAAGTTTTATAAAGTGTAGCGCAATGTGTACCACAAAGGAGTACGTGTGGAACATTAAAACCAACGCCAGAACAGTTATTTTGTGGTAAAAGTTCGGTTTTCCATTCAAAACACCCGCTCTTACTTACTAATTGTATAGTATGACTTTACGCATACTTATTAGTATAGATAATACTACTTTGAACAAGTCTACGTCTATGCACTCCATATTTAAACTTCAATACAATTGCAATTTCACTCAATTCAATGATTTTACCTAATTTCATTATGTGTATCGACTTGTATACTAGCGGTAGTTCGAATGTGGTTTCGGCATCATATGGCACCATACTCAACTCAAGTTTTTCAAGGTGTAGAGCAATGTGTAGCACGAACAAGTACACGTGCAGCGTTAAAAACCACGTCAAAACGGTGATATTGCGGTAAAAGATCGGTTTTCCGTTCAAAACACCAATTCTCACTTACTAATTGTATTGCACGACTTTATCCATACTTAGTAGTATAGATGGTACTACTTACAACATGTCTACGTCTATGCACTGTTTATACAAACTTCTATACAATCACAATTTCATTCAATTCAATGATTTGACCCAATTTCATCATGTGTATCGACTTGTATACTAGCGGTAGTTCGAATATGGTTTCGGCATCATATGGCACTATACTCAACACAAGGTTTTTAAGGTGTAGAGCAATGTGTAGCACGAAGAAGTACATTCGCAGCGTTAAAAACCACGTCAAAACGGTGATATTGCGGTAAAAGATCGGATTTCCCCTCAAAACATCAACTCTTACTTACTAATTGTACAGTATGACTTCACCCATATATTGTAGTTTAGCTGGTACTACTTTGAACAAGTCTACGTCTATGCACTACTTATATAATCTTCAATACAATCACAATTTCACTCAATTCAATAATTTTACCCAATTTCATGATGATTATCGACTTGTATACTAGCGGTAGCTCATATATGGTTTCGGCATCATATGGCACCATACTCAACACAAGGTTTTCAAGGTGTAGAGCAATGTGTAGCACGAAGAAGTACATTCGCAGCGTTAAAAACCACGTCAAAACGGTGATATTGCGGTAAAAGATCGGTTTTCCGTTAAAAACATCAACTCTTACTTACTAATTGTACAGTATGACTTCACCCATATATAGTAGGATAAATGGTACTACTTTGAACAAGTCTACGTCTATGCACTACGTATACCACTTCAATACCATCACAATTTCCCTCAATTCAATGATTTTACCTAATTTCATGATGTGTATAGACCTGTATACTAGCGGTAGTACGAATGTGGTTTCGACATCATATGGCACCATACTCACCACATGTATTTCAAGGTGTAGAGCAATGTGTAGCACGAACAAGTACACGCGCAGCGTTAAAATCCACGTCAAAACGGTGATTTTGCGGTAAAAGATCGGTTATTGTGTTGGTAAACAGTAGCTCTTACTTACTAATTGTAAAGTATGACTGTACCCATACTTAATAGTATAGATGGTACTAATTTGAACAAGTCTACGTCTATACACTACGTATACAAACTTCAATACAATTGCAATTTTGCTCCATTCATGATTTTACTCAATTTCATCATGTGTATCGACTTGTATACTAGCGGTAGCTCGAATATAGTTTCGGCATCATATGGTGCAATACTCAACACAAGTTTTTTAAGGTGTAGAGCAATGTGTAGCACGAAAAAGTACACGTGCAGCGTTAAAAACCACGTCAAAACGGTGATTTTGCGGTAAAAGATCGGTTTTCCATTCAAAACACGTCTCTATATTCGCATCGTCGTTGCTAGCATCTTGCGCTTTCAATGGCATCCCGGTCTGGGATCCGGAAGCTTGATGCAACTAAGCGAAGACGAGAATCAGTCCAGTGACTAGGATAGACGTGGTTTCATCGCTAAATAAAGGGTGCTTACTGTACACTGTAGACTACAGTGTAGTAGGCTGTTGTCATCGTCCTGAACTCCGGATCAGATCACTAGGGGGGGGTCTCAATTACCTCACCAGATCTTGATGCTTCCTAGCGGACAAGTCACGGATATTATACCAGTAGTTCATTCAAACGATGCTCTAATATAAAGCGTCTTATGGTCTCAATATCGATGTTGGTGTCGGCCACAATCCAACTCGCAGCTTCCGACTCAAAAGCCAACCAAGCACCTCCACAATGATCCGACCGGTGTCGAATCTGCAAATGCAACGTCAGCTTCAATCCCCCAGCAAGCCTCTGAAATCGACCACGACGTCCTCTAAGTCTCCGATCAAGAAGCACCTTCAGAATGCCTCCATAGAACAACCATCGTCTCCTCTTCATGAGCCCCAGAAAGGGAAACTACGTGGGTCAGTTCTTCGAGCAGGTTTGAATTTACTGGACCAAGACGTGAACGGAACTCGTTGGAAGCCCACCAAGTCCTCCCAGCGCGCTGCCGGCCCTACCCTTGTCCGAAGCCCAACGTACAGCGGTGGAACCGTCCAAGCTCTACGTGGCCCTCCATCAGGCAAAGTCGCCATCGGTCCGGCTACGACTCTGGGTCGGCGAATTTCAACTTGAATGAGGCGGATTCCGACCCGAGTCCACACAACAAAACAGAGACGTTCAGAACTGGAATGAACTCAATTCATCACTGCAAGGATTCCTACTTAGCTGGCGCTAACGGAGTGCCGGAAGCTCAGAAGATGGTTCGTGCCAGGTGAACTTCGACTATTCCCTCAATCTG